AGAGAGAGAGGGGGGGGGGAAGGACAAGACACGAGAGCGATCGGGAAGAGGAATTATAACCGACGAGAACGGAAGGTGCTATTTATTATCAGAGCCTCGTGGGGCACAATGGCTCGCGACTGCTGATTGATGTTCTCGCCTTTAGTCACTGTCCGACGTATGCTATATTTACAACAATCCGCCTGACCCCGTACATCATCGAAGAAAAGCGCCGCCGAGTCGCGCCGTGTGCGAGACGACGAGTACCTACGCCTACGCGCGTGAGCACGCGCACATTTTCGCCCTTCCGCTAAAATTCAATTATTCCCCATAGCGCTGATTTGCGCTATAAACTTCGGTAATTAAAGTGATAGAATTATTCAACGGCGGTGTAGCCGCTCCCGATATGAATACGGGAGCTGGCCCTACGTGCTATTTACACAATTTCGAAATATACGTCCGGTTCGGAGTATACAATTCGCCGTTTGTTCACAAAGAGAACCTATTTTGATGGAACGCGCGCTACGTGCGGGTAAACGAGCCGATTGCCGAGTTAATTATTTACGCAGCGAATTTATCCTGAAAATGTTATGACCGATTAATTACATGAAGTTAAAATTCAGAGAAATACACACGACCGGGTTGTGTTATCGAGCGGATTTCGATGCGACGGACGCGACAAATTGGACTAAGAGTCTGGAAAATATCGCGAATCGATTGATCGTCAATAAGTAATCAGCTGGGCGAGTCTCGTCGTTCAACGTAGCGCAGCTCGTTCTACGTAGAATGTGACGTGTGCCACGCACAGGAGCTTACGTGACGAGAATTAGTTATCGCGTGGAAGCAACCAGTGGCGTAGATCCCCATGCGGTTATGTCGTAGACCTTCCGGGTAAACGTTCACACAAAGCGTCCCTAAAAAAAACCTTAACGCGTCGCGAGCCCTTCGTGACTTCAATGGCCGCGTCCGCGTGGCGGAATTTTATACAAATTTTTTTCGGTCTCTCTTCTTTCTCTCTCTCTCGCTCTCTCTCTGCCGAGAACGGAATCCGGTGTATATCGCGATGAATCTGTGAAGTCGCTGGCGCGCAGAGGAAGCGTGTGACGGGCCGTTTGTGCATAATGCGCGCGGCGAAATCGCGGATAATGCGACGGAATGCGCTTTCCGCATCGTCACTATCGTGATCATTTAACTCCCCGTGCCGAGGCCCGATAACGTAGGCGCGCGCGCGCGCGCGCCCGCCTTTATCTCGGCCCTATCTCGCGAGGGCCGCATTATTAATTGCGTGCCGGCGGAGTTGCTCAATTGCCGAGAAATTGTCGGCACAAAGCGATCTCGGGAGAGCACCGACAAACCGCGTCGTCGCCGACGAAAGAGAGACGCGTGACGCGATTACGGGGGCATCAGTGACATCGCCGAGAGCTGCCGCTCTCTCGTCGAAAGGGCAACACGTTCTGCGCGATTGACCGAGCCCTGAGCACGGAATAATGGAACGCAAACTGCACCGTGTTTACAATGGCCGGTGATCGTTCAGGATCACGCGAACGCACGCTTCGATCTGTCACGGTGACAGCTGAATTTCTTGACGTTTCGCATTCTTCTTGTATTGTCGGATACACCGGATATATCGAGCGTGAGAATAATTCCCTTTCAAAAAATGTAACTTATCTATTTATTAAAAATTAATTGTTAATTTTTTTTTTTATTTTTGTCAATCACGACATATATTTTATTAATTTGCCAATCACGACATATGTATTTTTATCTGAATACAATGATTGCCCATAATTGCGAAACGTTCTCTTGGGAGACAGGAAGTTACTTGAATATCTATCTATTTCGTATAATGTAACTTATCAAATAATTGATATTATATTGAATCTTGAACTTTTCTCGTTTTGTCGCATTGTCGTTAATAAATATATCATTAATTAAAAAAAGGATAATATGAGAATATAATATACGTCGTGTGTCTGAAGTAACAACGACCAGATTTTTTTCTTTTTAATTTTCTTAGAAAATGTCGAAGCGTCTGTTTCATATTATTGAACTAATTGGCTAATTAGTTCAGTGATACGAAGCCAAATGGCCAATCATATTATAATCGATACATTATATATACAATCATAGTATCATATTACAATTTGCAAATATGTAAGAATGGAGCACGTTTTTAAATACAGAAATCCATGACGTGCCTTTTTGTGACAAGTTTGCCACTGCGTAATTGTCCAATTATTCACGAAGCATATTTAATATAAATTAAATGTTTAAACAACTAATCAATTAGAAAATTAGGTTTCCACTAGATACAACAATGTATATGTTAAGATTACAATGGAAAAACGTTTAGTATCGATTTATGTGCAGAGATTATTATAGTTCGAAGTGCAAAGGATTAATTTCATTCGTAAGAGGAACGATTTAAAAAGGAGCACTCACGTTTAGTGACAGTAGCGTACGTCGCAAGCCCTGTTATCGTGCCGCAATGCTCACCGGTGACCTTCCCTCCTCCTGCCACCTCGCACTGTCACCGATCGTCGTCCGATTATCGTGATCCACAAGGTGCCGTCATTTCACCGAGCACACCACACTCTTTCGCGACGCGCGTCAGCGAAGGGGGGGGG